TCAATAAATCGAAAATGAATAATAAGCTTAAATTGGTGTGTTTAAATCTCTGCAGTATTAGGCATAAGATTGATGATGTATTGGCTCAATTTTTTGTTATGATTTAATACCTGATATCTTAATATTTCTTGAATCAAGGTGTTGTGATAAAATGCCTCCACCACCTTTATTAAATTAAAATATCAGTTTTTTTCGGCAGACCCCCGGGCATGTAGGTGGTATTTTTATTTATTTTAGTTAAATTTAGTTAAATTGTGCAATTTTACAATTAATGACGTTTATACTTTTAATTGTATTTATCACCCACCCTTTGGAAACTGGTATGAATTTATGGACACACTGGATTTACTAGTACACAATATATATTCTGATAAACTAGTGTGTTTGGAGCGATTTTAATGTGAATTCTTTTTTAAATTTACCCAAACAATTACTGATCGTGTTCATGCTTTTGAATTAAATAATTTGATGTCTGTTGTAAATTCTAAACCATGCATTTATCAACCGACTAGGGTTATTGGAGCTGTTGTGTCTTCAACTGGCAATATTTTCACTAATTTCTGGGTTATTGTTTCTGATGTCATATGTTGTGACATTTTAGATCATTATGCGCTATCTTTATCCATTGTTATATGTGCTATTCCACCTAGGTTTATTACTATTCTTAAAATACTAATAAATGCTGACACTCTTAAGAGTTTCATTCATGCTTTGAGTAATTTTGATTTGAACTCTATAATACACGAGGAACTTGATGTTGATTTGGCTTTTTCCTCCTTTGTCGAACAGTATTACATGCTCTATAATTCATGTTTTCCTGTTACTAAAGTTGTTAAATTGAATAACGCTATATATCCTACATGTATTATCGTTTCTCAATTACGTATCATTAGGCGTAAACAACGTCTGTATCGTCGCTTCAAACAAACAGGTAATCTATTGACTTACATTATATATTTGGAGTCAAAGTGCTTGTTAAAGGTCAAGTTTCTGACAATAAAGCTAAGTGTTTTGATAAAGTTTTTCAGAATGGGGACACTCATAGCATTATGGCTTGCGTGGCAATATATATTCTATACTAACAACGTATTTAAATAACAGGCAATGTTACACCACAGTTAACGGTGCGATTTCCTTTTAGTATGTCCAAGTGGCACTTGTTATCTGTATGATGATGATACGACTCTTGGTATTGAGTCTTATTATCTTGCTGATAACTTTAAAAAAGGGAACAAAATGTTGATATTCATTGAAGCTTGGCTTTGAATATTAGTAAATCGAAACATATAATTATATCTAGAGAACAGATAAATGAGAAGTTGATTTTTAATGATATGCCATTGCCTAAGGTTGATTCAGTAAAGATTCTTGGGGAAATCTTAGATGGGATGAACAAATTTCAATGATTTCAATTAACCTTGGTAGAGTAATTTATATCATGGCGAGGTGCTTTATCAGATTTATTATGCCACCTTCTATAGTCAAATGATTTATTGTTTAGGTTTCTGGGGCACACACTTTGGAGCTTCAAGACCCATCTGGCTATTACAGAAGCGGATATCACCCTCATTCTGGAGCTTACTTTCCGTGCAACTGTTATTAACAAGTTCAAGTAATATGATCTTTTCATTATTTATCAGGCCTGTGTATACCGATTCATTTGTGTTGCCAAAGATATCAGTATTTCAAATCCTGATCTCAAACTGTTAATTATTTCTAGAGAAAGCCCTTACTCCTTTCGTCACTGCAATCTATTTTACTGTCCAAGAAATGTTTCTGTTCTAAGTATTTTTATTACTTGAATCTTGTTATTTTAAATCGACTGAAGCTAAATGTTTAGATCACCCCTAGTTTCAGGTAATTTAAATTAAAGGTTTTTAATTATGTTTTTAAACATTATTTTGTTTATATTTCTTCAGTTTTATTTCTTCAACTGAAAACTGAACAACTTATAGCAGTTTCATGAACTAGCAATAATGAAGCGATCAGCCTAACTCACAAATAAAACTCAATAGTCAAATCTGGCTAACTAACATACTTGCTAACTCAATATTCAATCGAGAACACTGTAACAGACTCACTAAGTGACTTATTAAGTTACTGATATTTAATGATACCGCTATTTTCCCCCAAGACTTCAGAAAATTAGAAACATAACGTGAAATGTAGACACTCAGGAAATTTCTAGGCTTCGTACATAATCACTACATTTACCAAAACTTCTTGTAACAAGCAATACAAAATGTCTAAGTTAAAAAAACTAAAGCATTTCTTACAAAAATACATCCATATTCCTATTCTTCACGATTAATATATTGTTCTTCGAACAGCTTAACCGAAAAGTGTTGTTACATCTCTGGTCGTTAGTTAATTTTCCGTAAAAATTATTTCCGAAGAAACTTTAGCGATACAAATTCTTTCTTAAATAAAACTGGTTTATTCTTTCTGTATGCAATACACTTAATTTCCACAGTCAAGCTATAACTTAACAAACGCTATAATTCACAACGAACGACACAAGCACTCGACCCAACTGTCCGTCTCTATCTCTGTCTGCAATTCAACTGCATTGTTGCCGTTAGTTCTTGGCAGTGTTATATACAAGAATACCGCATATCTAGTAAACACTCGAGGCTTCACGAAGGGACGTGAACGTTCTAAAAGCTCATGACGTGTTGCCAGACTCACGTGACTTTCGCTGTCGTAACAGTATTCAACATTCTATTTCAACAAAGCGATTTTTTTTAAAGAAAGAATAATACAAGTTATGCATTAATAACAGACACATAACGAGTTTTAAAGATAGTTTAATAAATATATGAAAATTGCTAAAGGAAAATTAAAATGTTTAGTATATTAAAATTTTAATTATTTGCATGGTTTTTTTACTGCTGATGTATACCTTGCCCATCCCTTCATAAGTTTAACTGAAACTAATAAGGTAATCGCAGTTCCATTTTATAATTCTCCTTCTAACACCTTTACTTACATATATTCAAATTATATTCTCGAGAAATAGCCACGTTTCACATCTAAAAGTTACAGTAATCACTTCTTCTGTCATTTGAGATGCAACCCGTTAAAAAATTTTCGTTCCACAAATCTAGAAATATTGAAAATATACTGTTACGACAGCGGAAGTCACATGAAGTTGGGAGCATGCGCACTCGAGTTTCTCGAAGTATCATGAATTATCGGGGAGGCCCGAGTTCATTCGAGACGCCCACTTTTTTAGTATATAAGCCTGGCGAGAAAAACCAGCGCGATTGAAGAAATAGATAAATTGAAGAGACAGATAATTGAGTCAAGCGAACAGTAGTCACCGTAAGTAACGTGTGTGAATCGCTGTGATTAACCGTGTGTTAAAAAGCTTGTTAAGTTTAAAGCGACTGTGGAAATTTGGTGTATTACAATGTTTGTATCAAGAAAGAATAAATTAGTTTTAATCAAGAAAGGACTTGTATGCTGAAGACTCTCGGAAAGAATTTATACCGGAAATTAAGAAACAAGCAGATACATAACAATATCCAAACTTAGAATATCTCGTGTACAGGTAAAACATATTATACTAGGAAGCTGCATTTGCGAGTGTATATCTAAGAACGTATGAGTGAAAGCAACGAAGAATGCATAACAATATGTCAGCCACACTATATCTGATATACCTTGTGCCGACAAGGCCTTTCGTCCAGTATTAGGGTTCATCATGCCAACTTAGAAATGAAAGACACCATTGTGGTTAAGATGCTATTTATATTGTCAAATTGCATAAAAAACAACTCTTATGGTGTGAACTAGATTAAATTGGCTTCAACAGAATCCTGAAGATAACAGTTGTACCGAAGAATATAACTGGTCAGAATTTTCAGTTCTATGCTACATATTGCTTTTTATGAAAACATGTGAATGAAACAAACAAAATCTGAAAATTCTTATAATTAGCATGATTTGTGTTTTCAACAATTTGCAAACCTGTTTAGAAGATATCAGATATCTTTTAATTCATTTGGTTTATTACAAGTGCTTATAATATAACCTTATTTGTTTCACGGTGTAAGTGTTATGAAATTATTTCCGCAGTTTTAGAGCCGAATATTCTGTTTTGGTATAACAGCATAAGAGAATAACTTTGTATTAAGTAATTTATTTGGACTATCACCACGTTTTGTTTTGTTTTAATGTAGAAGCTTTCGGCTCAATTACCTAACAATAACTTTCTTCACCAACGTTGGGTCTGCCATGACCTGGTGCTCGCCCTTTCAGCTGTGGGGTGTCATAAAGTGATGGCCAGTTCCACTATTCGTTGGTAAAAAGAGTAGCCCAGGAGTTGGCGGTGAATGGCCCTGACTAGCTACCTTCCCTCTAGTATATTCCTACTAAATTAGGGACGGCTAACACAGATAGTCCTTGAGTAGCTTCGCATGAAATACCAAAGATACCAAACAAACTTTACAAACGTAAATTCTGGCTTCCATTTTTACATCTATTTTGTGACCGTCTTATTCGTTTATTAAATATTTATAGGTAGCGCTATAGAAATTTTACGCATATGACGGCTCGAATCACCGTATGTCATATATTCATCATAACAGATTTAGAAATGTGCAATCGTATATTTTTTATTTTCATTCTTTTTTAGTATTGCTAAATATTTAACCTTATACAGTCTGATTGGATAAAATTACATTGACAATGTGAGTTATTCGTATGATTACCATTAAAAACACTGATTTAATAGTAATTTAGAAATTGTTTTCAGTAATTTTAAGTAAATATTGCTGGCAATGTGGCATGGTACATTGGTACTGGTAGTTACTATGCTTCGCTGCTTTACTACATTATTATTGTTCGCGGCATAAATTTTAATGAAGCGAGGGCCAAGGCTAAAATAATAATAATTATGAACATACTTCTTAAATGAACACTTATTAACTACGCTAGACTGTTGTTCATAACTGCCTGTCGTCAGTTGTTGATTTTCTACACTGCCAAGTTTGGCCTAGCTCTAGCCGTAGGCTTGGCTTGAAGTTGATAGTTAAATTTGAAAACAAACTTTCAGTTTAACATAATTACTATTTCAAATGACAGTAGTGAAGATGAAAAAAAAACAACTACTGATATGGTAGTTTTATATGATAAGAAGAACATATCTAAATTCTATTTTTGTTGAAGGAAAAAGCTACTTTGGAAAACTATCAAGTGGAACGTCGGAAGGTTCCAGCCCAGCCAAGATTTTTCGTAGAATCTTAGACTTAAAGAAGCTAGCTCAGTAAGAATAGATGGGCTTTCATTAATATATATTAAAAATATTATTACGTCTGCAGAAGTTTTTTGCAATTGGAAGCTTGAAAGTGTAGTTCCTTAGATCTGATTGATGCTGTGAATTTTTAGTTTTAGAAAGACTTAATATGTTTTATAAGGTGCCATACATGAAATGAGAAAATTAAAAGAAGAGTGTTGGAATTTGTTGTCAGAAGTCATTTAGAAACTTTTCATGTAATTAAAATGATTCTCAACAATGTTTAAAAAAAGGATTTTTCATTTTTTACCAGTATGTTGGAGTTTTTGTGAATATGTGTATTTTTGTTGGGGCTAGTAACATCTTGTTTGATGTTGTGAACTTTGACTTCCAGAAAGCCTTTCATTAGGTGGTGTACAAAAGTCAATCAAAAGTTGCATTCTTATGGAGTTGATAAAATATTTAAAAAGTAGATAGAGAATTTGTTTTGTGATAAAAAGAAAGGGTAGCAATAAATGACCATTTTCTGATTAGAGAATGGGATTATAATTACATAATCTGCAAGATTTGCATTAAATTTATATTTTACTGCTTATGAGTAGAGGCACAGGTATGTACTGATTGTTTATCTTAGAAACCTTTTGTATAACAATTCAGTTTAATTAAGGGCCGGGTGGTTAGGGTACTTGACTCGCAATCTGAGGGTCGTGGGTTCGAATCTTTGTCCCATCAAAAATGCTCACCGCTTCAGCCATGGGGGTGTTATAATGTGAAGGTCAATCCTACTATTCGTTGGTAAAAGAGTAGCCCAAGATTTGGTGCTGGGTGGTGATGACTAGCTGCCTTCCCTCTAGTCTTACACTGCTAAATTAGGGACGGCTAGAGCAGATACCCCTCATGTAGATTTGCGTGAAATTCAAAACAAACAGTATAATTTTTGTTAAAATTAATAATATATAATTGTATATTGGTCATATACAATTATGATTAAATGCTTGTAATTACAAAACAAATTGACATACAGTTTTTCCTGGGTGTTTTTATTGGTTTATATGTGAAATATAATTTTGGTGTGATTATGTTGTAAATGTATGGAATTTAGGTGTTTTGTAAGTAAAATTAATTACCTATAAATTATTTTAATTACAGTGAAATGTGTTCATATGTGCCATAGCAAATATATACTTGTTGTTTATATATTATTAAAATTTATAGAAGATGAAATCTTCAATGGTAATCTTTATGAAGTGAGACTAATAAAAGTGATATGCCATTTATTTCTTTACTTTAAGAACTTTGATGGATAAAAGTTGATTTTATTTGCATATAACAGGTGATTTTTAATCTTTGTTTTCATGATAATAGTTTTTTTAAATAGTTGACCATGTTTTGCTCATTTTGATTGTACCTGCTGATACCAAAATTCCAGTTAAGAATCATAATGTCTTGTACATTTGATGTTACCATACTTTTTCTCTACTTAAATTTAGCCAGTTTTCATTATCTATATGTATGTGTAATACTCAAGGGCTTTATTTAAAATTTTAACAACTTAAACATTTTCTTGGCAGAAACAAAACGCATGAAGATCCAGTTAGATAACTGCTGAAACTTTTTCTTGAAAAATGGTAGAAGACATTAATCATGGTGACTGGGTCACCATAAAGGATAGTTTATTTGATCAAGAAGATAAGGAATATATGAAAGATTTAAAATTTATTGTTAGGTGGAATGACAGAGAAAACAAATTGGCAATTACATGTGCTGAAGGAGCAAGAAAGGTCAGTGATCAAATATGTAAATTTCATGCATGTTTAATTAGCATTGCAGATTTACATGACATACACCAACAGTTGGCTTTAGTGAATATCAATTTAGAAAATAATTTTCCCAAGTTAACAGCTGAATGTGGGTTTTTGTCTCCTCTCTTTGGCACTAGAAATACTGAAGATCCAGTGAAAGAAATAGAAGAATATCTTTATCTTGCTTTAGATGTATGTGGGAAAAAAATGCTCTTTTCTCTTTTGTTTGAAAAAGAAGACCCATTGATAGAATATGAAGAATATGTGAATGAGTTTCAACAGCGAGTTTATGAAAGTATGGTTAATAAAGCTTTTCTTGATCTTAAAGAGCTGTTGGAACTACGAGAAAAAGCAGAATCACTCATAGAATTAGCTACAGTTTATGCCTTAGAAGATGAAGTAGTAACAAATATATCTATAGCTCTGGCTGAGCTCTATAACTTCCATCTAAAACCATTTTTGGAACTTCAAGAATTATCCTTTTATAAGACAACAAGTGCCCAGTTTTATCTTGAAGACCAATATTTAGAAGACAGTACCAAGCAGCAAGCAGTAAGGGACTTAGAAGCATGGAAGAATCAGTACTTGTCTGTCACTGAAGCAATCTTGCATTTATATCAAGAATATTACAGGAAGACGGTAGATATTGTATCAGGTAGGTTAGACTGAAAGTACTTGAGTTGTAAGTACTCAACATTAAAATAATAATGAATTCATACCTCAAAATAATAGATATGTTATTAAGAAGCTTTATGTAAAATGGTAGCCTTTCTATTATTGTGAAAGCATGTCTTACTAAACATTTTCCAGGATTATCACTGACATTAGATTTTTTAACCAAATGAAATCCCAGCATTGAGAAGTCAATTTTCACTTCTATTTAGCTACATCACTGTAGTTTGCTGGTATATTAAGTTTAGATACTGGTTTATAACTTTTTGAATGCCATTGTACCATATCCATTTTATTTGAAAATAATTTTCAAAACTGATTCCGAAGTAAACAGTTAATGTAATTCTAACGGGTATCGAAATAAAATTCTGTGGCAAGTACTGAATCAAACTGTAAATAAAGTCTGGATCTTCACCAAAGTGAACTTGCATTGTGTGAGAAAAATATGTACTGTAGTTACAAAAGAGAATTGATAAATGAATTGTTTTGCTTATTGGCATTGATTTTTTTTTAAATATTTTAACCTTAGAATTACAGATGGGGTCCGTATAATTGTAGGCTCACCTGTTTGTGAAAAATATGGCTTACCAGAAGTTTATTAACAGTTTGAAGATCAGCTAAACTGTGATAATCATCTCTGCAATGTGACTGTAATGTCCTTTGAGTTGGTTGAGCAGGAGACATAGGTGAGTCGTTAGCAGGATCTGTTGGAGGATGAGAAATGGACATGTCAGAAGTCTCTTGTCTTGTGGGAGGAAGACCTCCAAGTCTTGTATAATTGATATTACTGTGGTGTCACAACTGCCTAGGATGATTACCATCTTCTCTGGTGTACAGAGAATTTTCATTGGGAAATATATGTATCTCTTTATAATAGAAACATGAAATTGTCCTATAATTTCACCTGATCTAGGATTTTTTAATTCATACACTAATGAAGTGACTTCAAAAAGTCTGTTCCACCTTGAAGCAAATTTTGCAGTAAAATTATTTACTGCAGAAAATAATGGATTTGTCCTTAATGATACTAAGTTACCTACTTTAAATATATCTGGGTGTCTCTTATGGTTGAATGCTGGTCACTGTTGCTTCTGAGTTTTTCCATCATTGGATCTTGCTTTCTGTATGACATTTTGCAATTCTGCTCCTCACTCATCCACAGTTTGAGGTGCTGTTGGATATTTTGTCAGTCATTCCCATGGAAGGAAGATCTTTCGTCCCAGATGGAATTTGTCTGGTGTGTAACCTGTAGACTCGTGAATAGAAGTTTTAATTACCAGAGAAAATTCAGATAAATGATTGTCCCAAGTTTGATGATTTTTTTTAAAGTAAGCAGGTATCATTCTACCTTTATTTCTATTTACTCTTTTAGTGGTATTAGGCTTTACAAGTTTCATCCATGAAATGAGACAAGGTGGGGCCCATTATTGTGTGCAAGAGTTTTTGGAATACCATATCTACACAAGTATTCATTAATTAGTTTTCTCGCTATCAACTTTGTAGTTATTTGTTTGAGATGATGTAATTCAATCCATTTACTGAAATAATCTGTTACAACCAACAAATAAATATTCCTGGTAGTAGACTTAGGATAATGTCCCATGATGTCTAATTCTTTTATTTCACTAGGTTTCATTAGTTTAGTGCTTTGCATAAATCCTGCTATCTGTTTCTGATCAAATTTAGTGGTTTGACAAATATAGCATGATAACATATAATTTTTAATGTCCTGTCTCGTACCAGGCTTATAACCACATCTGGATACTTTTTCTATTGTTTTTCTAACACCTAGATAACCAGCTGTAGGATGATCATGCAATTCTATTAACATTGCTAGTTTCAGTGTTTTGGAAATAACTGGCCTGTATTCACCATTGCTAAAAACCTTTAGTGTGCCATAAAGAACATTATCTTTCAAGATGTAATGTTTGGATTTATCTACAGTCTGTGTAACTACAATGGAATCAACTGACAACTGTCCAGTTTTCATGTAAGAGTAAATATGTTTATACTCATCATCTTTAGCTTGTAGCCAATTGTTTTTGAGTGCTAGCATTGACAATGGCAAAAAGTTTAGGTGATAGCTTACCAACATCCAAATTTAGATTTTCTTCTGGAGGATCAGTAGGATGTCTAGATAGGGTATCAGATAACTGGTTCTCTCTTTTCCTGCCTTTAACTTACCCTATCAGCTCTCCTAGGGTATTTCTCCACTGTCCACCTCATTTCTGAGGTGCTCCACCAAGATCCTGAAGATTTTTTGAGGGATACCCTCTCCCTGATTACCTCCACTCTGGCACGTTTCTCTTCTTCAATTGTTTCCTTACACATGTGGATTCTCTGTTGTTGGAAGAGATGGTGTATTGTTCCAAGTCTGGTTATCATCTACTTATCTTTGGGACTTGTGTATGGCCCTTTTCTCCACCAGTCTATTTTTGAAGATATTCCTCAGACTTTAGAATCCTGTGTGGAATCAGTGAGACTGCAATCGACCCTTTCATCTTTAGTTGATCATTTGTCTCATTCAGAGCTGCTACGATCCCCTATTACTGTTTCCCATCGTGCTTCTTCCCAGCCCTTACCAGTTCCTACCACTGAGGGTTCCCCCACTCATTATATTATTTGACACAGATAGACACGTCACCAACAGTACCAGTGACTACCCGGGTACCAGTCCAGTGAGGGCTCACTTGACCAATTTTTTTCCCTTATGGCGAGATTTACCCACAGATGTGTCTCCTTCCTGGGTGACTTCAATCATCCACACCACTCCGTATCAAGTCCTTCTGATTGCTCCTTACTGGCTGCCACAGCCGTGGTTTCCAAAGCTGCTCCAGCTCCAATCGGCCCTACCATTACCTCTTACTCCATCCCTTCTATGTCATACTCTGTCAATTGCATTTTATCCAGTTTTTACTATCCTCCATCTTCACATCTGGTTTTATTCAGTCCATGGTGTGGAGATCCGAATTGTTACGGGAGTCGCTTCATTTTTAGCACATTCCATTTGACCTTCCTCTTTGGATGTTTATCAACATAAGTGGAATGTTTTCTGCTATTGGTCTTTCAGATTTCCTCACTTGGCTGTTTTATCAGGAACTTTGGTCTCCTCAATTGTGGGTTATTGTGGCTACCCTATCTCACACTTTTTGTTTTTCCTGGAACCATCAAGTTTTTACCTCTTCTACCCTCTCACTGTTGTTGCATTCCTTCCACATTAGTCAACCTCCTTGGTGAGTAGTCCTTCCAGATTGGGATGTCAATGTGGTTCATCACTGCTTTACTTTACCTCCATTTGAACCTCTGTCCTTGTGTTCAATTTTTCACTTATCCATTAAGACTTATTTCCTTCTCACCTTGGCCCATGGACCATTGTTGGTTGGATTTATTTGATATCATTGTTTCATGTACCCTATATAATTCCATATATGTTTTTTATCTAGATCAATCTTTCCTTCCCAAAACTTTGGCAGCTCGTGAAGGTAATTCCTCCTTCTTGCTAATTTCCCTTCTGTCCGTTTCCCAGCTATACTCTCGGCATGATCCAAATAGACTACTATGGCCCATACATGCTCTTTGTTATTATAATGAATACACGGCTTCCTTCCATGGTGTCCATTCCCAACTATTCATTCGGTGGCAACTATCCTCTGTTCCTCCATCCTTACCAATTGTGTTCAGCTTATAATTTGATCAGCTTATTCTTCCTTGTCTCCTTCTTCCCGTAATTTGTTGCAGGTGTCTTTTTACCAGATAAGACATTTTACCTTTTCTCTGTCGTCCATTGGAGGAAATCCTTCTATTGGGCATATGGACCACACCGTATAAATTTATCTCTCAATGTCTGCATCGGATAACTGTTTATTCCTCATTGGGTTATCATCTTCCACCTGTTGCCATACTTTAGACTTCAGTGAGACTGTGACTAGGAAGTTATTTTTTTTATTATATATATATACCTCATAATTTTCAGGGGCATGTCCCCTTTCTTTCTTTAAGGATCCCACTCTGTGGCAAGTAGTGCCTGTCCAGGTATACTTAAACTAGTTCAATCCACACTGTCAGGTAATGTTGACTTGACAATTATAATTCCATGGCCACTTCACACACACTGTTGAGATGGGGTGTTCAACAAGATTGCTTGTAGGTTTTCCTCACGATATATTTGCTTCATTAATATGCCTGTTCTGGACCGTACTAACCCATGGACTTCATGCGTAAAGCTGTAGGGGATATCTTCCCATCTCTGCTATTCCTTAGATTGAATAAATCGGGAGTTGTCTCCTTTTCAAAATAAGTTTTCATAGTCATCTGTTGCACTGTTTATGGTGTTGACGTTCCTCTGGACTCTCCACCACATGTTCTCACCTTTTTTCTTCTAGTGGAGTATTTTAGTCCTTACTACTTTTCAGTTCCAAGCTGCGGGGGTGGTGAACAATGGAGGCATCCTCCTGAATGTGATCGACATATGCAATGCAACCTATGGTGAATCCATTCAGTTGAGAATAGGGCAGTGGTTGTTTGCTGGTGTAAATGATATGTCCTCCAATCTGAAGCTCCATCTCTGAACAGGTTTATCCAAGGGGGTGTTGTAGCTTTGGAGTGAGTCATCTAAATTGCAGTTCACTCCTTTGATTGGGATCTCTCATCCTATCCCCACATGGTTCCCAGTGGCTGGGTTTTGGATTCAGAGCTGGACCAATCTATATAAGTCCTCACACCTTTATTACAGGTGTGTCTGTTCTCTCATTCAACTGGACTCATGTTCACTGCTACCATGTTGTGAGCCATGGTGGATGAATATGCTGGTTCCTATGGTTCCTCCTTTTGCAGTATCCCATGAAGATTTCTATATACTGATGATGTTGCGGCTCTGGGGGTGGTTCCTATCTGATTGGTTTTGAGTGGAATATTTCACAATACTGGGACATCTTTATTATTCCAATTGACTGGATTTTGGGTTCCCAGGTCGGTACAATGATTTATCACTTTTCTATCATGTGCCCTGTACACAGATCGTTGGGTATGATATCTCCCTCAAGTCTGCAGTACTTGAGGTAAAGACAGTATGATCCTCTTTCCTGCCTCCACATGGATGTTGGTTCCCAGTTTATAGGTTTTGGATTGTAGCTGACTTGCTGATGGTATGATCCTCTTTCCTACCCCACATGGATGTCTGTTCTTGGTGGTTAGGTTTTGGATTGTAGATGACTTATTGATGGTACAATCCTCATCCTACCCCCATGGATGTTGATTACTGGTTCCTGGGTTTGGATGCAGTTGACTTGCCATGTATGGTCCGTCATGCCGTAGCCACTCTACACTTTTAGGCTCATCCTTTTGCTCTCTCCCACATTACCATCATCAAAGGGATTGACATTCCATTATCAAATGGTTCAGATTTCTATCCAACTATTGTTCTCTCCACTTTTGGATGTGATCCTCCCATTTTCTGCCCATGTTTGCAACACCTTTTTCCACACTGGGCATAGAGTATACTACAGAAGTGATGCAGTCTCCCACACATGGTCCCCTACTTATTGAGTGTTCTTCTGATGTTTTCGAAGGATGTTCTTTATTTCCCCCACACCGGTCCCTCCACCTATTCATTGTGGGATTCTAGCTATATTTGTGAGTTGAGGTAATGTACCATATAAGAAGTTATAATTTTCCTATACTTAAAATGTGTTTCCAATAGGTACTCTCCTACCCACTGAAAACAATGCTTTCATTTTCTGCCAAAACTCAAAGTGGTAGTTCAGTAGAGTCAAATAAAGGGAGACGCATGTGTCAGGAGGATGTGTTGCACTCCTACTGGTAGAGAGTTATCACATGATTGTTTACATGCGAGACGCAGTTGAACCACATTGATATGTAGGAGCTCAAGGCTTGTGGTATGCAAAAACACTTTTGTATATAGAGGACAGCACTGTGAGAAGAGCTAAGTACCTATCAGAAATACATTTTCTGTATAGTAAAATTATAACATCTATTATGAAGGCAGTTTTATGCCAGTCTTCAATTTTTACAGGTATATGCCAAAATCTACTTGATAAGTCTAACGTACTGATATAAGTTGCACATGACAAAGTATTCAAAATATCAATTATATGAGGCAATGGATAGCAGTCAAATTCTTAGACTTTTATTTAATTTTCTGTAATTCACACAAAATCTAAAATCATTAGTCTTCTTCTTGACCCCCCTCATCTAATTTTGTAACAACTATGAAATCAGTGCAACTTGACATAGTGATATAGGATGACATGAGGAAGGTCATGGAGAGGGAGGTTTGACCTACCCATCTAATTTCAGCCAGTATCCTATATGAAAAGGTCATCCCTGTTCAGGTACCAGTGTAACAGACTAAAATAAAATGCCTCTAAAACCAGGGTTGGGCAAAAAATTAATTTATTAAACTTTAACAACAACAGAAATCCAAAACAAAACATTAAAACAATTGGAATAAAAAAATTAATCACTTACAAAAAAAAAGTTTAAAAATATGTGCTTGGCTAGAAGGTGAGCTATCACTTTAATATAATTAAAAATTGGTATGTCAACTAAGTGATGATAGAAGTAATCATAAATGAATGGTAAACAAAAACATAAAATAAAGTAGAATTTGTCCAATCTCACACATGTTCAACATTAGAAGTCTCTTTAGTACAAGTTTGTTGGATATACAAGACTGTTTAGTTTAAGAGTTATTATTTTAAAGTGATAGTTGTGACAAGTTACATAACTGTGTATGAGTCATATGTTGTGTATGCAGTTTGATTGTTGTACTAGGCTTTAGTAATATTGTTAACATCATGCTACTCGAACCTTCAGCATTTTTCTACTTGGCTTATGTGAATATTGTTACATTATAGTGTCTCATAGTTTGTAGAAAATTTGAGGCTTCAGTTGGGTCTATATATATAGATGACTGGAAGTTACGTTCAGTCTGAAAAATGTTAGTTAGTGAAAGAAAATGTGAAGTTAGCCAGTGTGGGAGTGATTAGCCTTAAAGGGTAATTTCTATGGTGTGTTTCACAGCTGTATTGTAACAGTAGTGTCAGATTTTAGAAAAATAATATTATTTATATAAGTTATTCTTCTTGCCAATTGTCGAAATAAATGGCTTTTACTTCTATTTCTTAATAGTATAAATACATAGGATTCTTCTACAGTAGGTGTCTGTGACTTGTTAGTGATAAATTCAATGATGAATAAACAGCACACACTTTACTTGTTTTCAAATAATATATATATATATATATATATATGTATGTTCGGAACAAGTTAAACGTATGTACAACAAAGTCCTCACACTATAGAGATTACAGGCATATCATAAACACTATTTATATATAGTTTTCTTCTTCTTGTTAAAAGACCACTTAGGCCTATTCAATTACTTTAGAACCACGCTTTGAGGGTATAAAATTATCCTTCTTATCTTTTTTTATACTGTTAGTTTCACTGTAACATGTTAAATGTTAGGCCTATTACACCTACAGTACTTAACTTCACACAACTATATTCTCTTTTGCTATTATCGGTCTATTGTTGTCTATGTGCTGCTTCCTGCTCATCTCACACTATTTATATCTTTATTACATAGTCGTCTGGAAACTTTCTATATTCTCTACACCAATTAGTTATCAACAAAACCTTCTACAATTGTCTGCTTTTAACTCTTATTGTAACAAAACTTGCAAATAATAAAATATTCACTCACAAATATAAATTAACCACTGATATTTAAACCAAACAGTCTTTTATATCATGACAAACAAAGATAGGAAAAATAACTTGTTTTGTCAATTGGGCTCTAAAGTAACTGAACCACCCTGTGTTGATTTTTAAGGAAAAAAATAAAAATATTTAAGTTCTGGATACAACTGTGGTAACCAACAAAAGAAGTGAAGTTAGAAAAAGTTCAGTCAGAAAACATTAATTTAAATTGTGCACTTGTGAGTTTCACAGTGATATTGTAATGATATGAGATAAAAGAGAAACATTTGTCTTGTAAAAGAGTGTTATAAAGTAATTGAACCCACATATGTGACTGACAAAAAGGAGACAGTTATTTGAAGTTCTGGATATAACTTTGGCAACCCATGGAGTAATATAAGTGAATTTATCACTAGTGTATTGTGATAAAAGAGAAGAGAACAAATAATTGTTGTCAGTTGTGTTCTAAAGCAACTGAACTGGAATATTTAGTCTTAGATATATACAACAGTTTAACCAATAGTGTAACGAGTTTTTGTACATACATTTGACTTGTTTTGAATATATTATTTTAAAATAAGTGGACTGTGTGCTGTCTGTTTATTGTTGACATCTATTGCCAACAACTCACAGACACCTACTGTAAAGAATCCCAGCCCCTATATATATATAAAACCTGACAAAGTTAATTGGTACCAACAGCATCACATATATTGTTAGTTTTATGAACAATAAGAATGTGCAAGTTATTAGTTTTCTTAAAGGTAATTACTCATTTGTCACAAGAATCATGTATTGTAACATTTAGAAATATATACATCGAGGAAACCAACACAAGTCTACATTGCATTCTATTTTCTAATGATAAATGTAAGTTTAATATGAAGGAGCAAATAGTATTTGTACCTGAATCTCATCATTCTTAAGGAAGAGGTTACTCACAGATAGTGCATGATACTGTATTTCTGGTGAAAAAACAAATCAGAAATGGCTAATGATTTGGCAGTATATGTTTCCTCCTGTTTGTAACTAAAGAAAAGTCCATATTATCTACTATGTGTGTGTTTGTTTTAACATGATCCTTATCCATTATTTGTATTAATTATTGCAATGTTTTTATGAAAATTGTGTAATTGAATGAGTATTGAGACTGTAGATTTTGTATTACAAATATTTTGCATGTATAGGACAGCTGAATCGAATTTTTGAAGATGAGAAGAAATTTGAAAAATCTGCTTTTGAGATTCAAGCTCTTCCTCGACTTCATAAACTAGATGTTTTTGTTAGTAAAGAGAAACTGAAGTTGATTAGTGCCACCAAGGCCACCAGAGAATATCATCGAGATAAAATTGAACAGCAGGTAATCTAAACAGTATGCTAAACAGATTTCTGTTAAAATGTATCTTCTAATTTGTGAAGTCAAACCAATTTACAAAATTCAACTCATCTCAGTCTGTTTATGTTATTGTTTGTTCCATGTTTTAGGAAATTAGATGACATATTATAAGATCATAAGTATAGAAAACTCAAATAAAAGAAATACAGTTTAAAAACACAAAGTTCCAAAGGATGAAAAGCCATGTGGCTCACTGATGTCACCCTTAACTCCTGTTATACCTAAAAAATAATAATTTAAACAATGCTCTGTACACTTCATATGCCTTTTTTCTAAAAAGATGTGAAAGAATTCAAACTACTGTAACTGCACATATCACTTTATCAGGCAACACATACAACTTTATAAGCAGACGTGGGTAAGGAAAATGAGCTTCAACTTTCATATACATTAATGTCTGTGGTTTAGGATGGGAACTAAGGTTTACTGTTTTGTTCATTATTTCTTTCATTAATAATATTGATATATTACTCACTATATTAAATATGATTACATTTATTTTCGTTGAATTTATTATTAATTTTTAACATTGTGTTATAAAGATTGATTTGCGTTGTTAACTTGGAAGTCATCTTTAGAACTAACCTAAATCTTTTAAGCTGGCCAACCTTGTGAGGTATTGGATTTCTGGCAGAAAATATTGCTAAGGGAGAGGTTACTCAATTGATGAAACAATGCATTCTAACCTTCATAAGTATGTATGTAAAAAAGAAAAAGTATATTTAATTTGCTATCTTGATGGCCAGGTTAATTTTATATTTTCTCTAAGATAACCTGAGTGGAGGTTATTAGTATTATTTACCCTATAACTAATTTTTGAGCATAATTAATTTATTATATTATCATTGCATGAAAAGTTAATAAACTAAAATATCTCTTTGAATGTGAATGTTTGGAACAGCTATTTGTGGAATAATAGATTTATTTCTGTATAATGTTTTGTCTGCAACAGTGAGGCATGATCATGTAAAATATTTTAAGGTACCCATTGAATGTGTTTCCTTGCTGTGTATAAGACTGCTAATTAAGAAATGAGTAAAACAATTAATGATTAGTTGTAAAATACGGTGATGTTAAAGAGTATGTTACTGTATGAAACAAAACTTGTTTAAATGTTATATTACTAACATGTGTAAAGTAGAGGTTCAGTGAGACTGTCCAGTTGCAGATTTGGTACATTTCATTAAGAGAAGAAATCTAAAGTAATTATATTTCAGTACTCTCTATATTTTTTATGATTTTCTTTTAACTATAAACTACAAGTATATGTAAGTTGACTTTTGTAATAACATACAAAATTTATTTATTGTAATTTAATTTTCATATATATATCATATTACCCATTTTTGTTATTATCTTCAATTGTTCATAAACCCAATATATAGTTATTTTCACTACAAATTTAACATATACATGCATGTTTCAGTAATAGTTGTTTTGTTTATGTTAGGATATTTTTTATGCAGCTAGATAAAATACAATCTCATGAAAATTGGAAAGAAGAAGTGTTCAGGATAGAAGCAGCTGTGTATGAGGCCCAGCTGAGTGTTTTGGATACTAGACTAGATATACTTCAAGAACAAGAACAGCTTTTTAAAAAACAATTGTCAATCCTAGAAAAAGTATGGCAAGGTATGTGTGTGTGTGTGTGTGTGTGTGGCTTCTTAATCTGGTAAAGTGTATGTTTCATGCTAGTTATGTGGATTTTTTAATTGGCTATAACCCCCCTCCCCTCTCTCTCTATTTTTGAGGTGGGAATATAATTTTTTAAGCAACGTGGGGCCTAGTGGAAAACATGCATAAACTGTGAATCTGCAGGTTGATAGTTCATGAACGATTATTTAAAAAATCTGAGATCTGGAGTTGTGCGTGCACTGGAAGAGTGATGGTGAAGTCTCGCTCTTCAGTCAGACAAGAGTAGCCAAAGAATTGGCCATGGGTCCTGTTGACTAGATGCCGTCTCTTATTTTCTTTCAGTTCATAATTAGGAATGGCTATTGCAGATAACACTTTATGTAATTTCTGTTGACATTATGAAACAAATTTAATTTTCATGGTTTCATTTAGGTGACTAAGATGGTTAGGAAAAACTACTAAAGATACTTTCATTTCCGAAAGTATTAATTTGAAGTTAATTCACACTGTTTTGGAGGTTCTTTAATAGGAATAATGTATAATCTAATTTTAAGCAAATTAACTAGTGTAAAGAAAAACTGAAAGGGTTAACTCAAAGTATTAGTATGTAATGTTTACTTAAGCTAACTGTCTTAGTGCTATATTTTTTATAGTAGCCAGTTATACTACTGCTATGCTGTAGCTAAATAATCTACAAAATAATAGTTATATCACTCAAAATAGTTTTAATTCTATGTTGTTTTTATTTCTCTTTTACTTTTTAGAATTATTCAGCAGACAAGCTGTTTAAGATATAAAAAATAAATATGAAACTAGTCTGTCATTCGAACCACCACTTGCCACTGAGCTGAACTGGTTTTGGCAAATTCCACCTCTCATCAGAAAAATATATTAGTGGCATAAAGTCACATATTTTTCAAGTCCTGTATAAATATAGGTTCAATGTGGTGAGTAAAAGACTAGATTAACAAAATAAAATATAACATGCCTATAACAAAGCTCACCAATACAAGAAATATAATCTTGTATTTTTGGTTTGCTCTTTTCCAGAGTTATTGATGAGGTGTGAAGTTCCTTAAACTCGTATATCACAGTGAGAATTGATGAATCAAGTGATAGATTGAACTTCATATTTATATTTAATACCTTGAACTTGTATTAAAATAGTAGAGATGAGTGGGTGAAAACAGATGGATTATGTTTAATCCTTGTTTCTTTCAAACCAGAAAAGGTTGGAGATGACGTGTGTGTGTGTGTGTTTGTGGAAACTGATGAGTTATCTAATTTTTGTTTCTTTCAAACTAAAGAGGCTGAAGATAGTTTTATGTGAAAACCAATTAATTATTCCTAATTATTCTCCTTTCTCCACTGAAACTGATGACTTATTTCAGTATTTATATTTTACTTCCTTACAACTGAACAGGCTTTCTTATTCTTTAATATATTTATTGTAATTGATAATTAAAAGCATTTTATAGTTTCACTACCAAGAATTTTGATTATAATAACATTAATTGTGATATTGTACATTTAACAATTTTTTTTATTTATTAATCCAAGATTATTCTGTAGAATGCACAAAACTGCATTTAGATCATTTGCATAGTATAAGATGTATTTATTATTATCTGTTTTATTAACATTATAGATGAGTTAGATGCTGGAATGTTCCAAGATGCCTTGGAATACTTCGACCAAGATGTTCTAGAAGAACCTGTAGTTGGAATTCGCACAAAAACTACTAAACTGAAAGCAAAATTAAATAGTGTGTACAGAAAAAGGGCAACTATTAGAAATCGTAAGGTAAGGCTCATGAAATGCATCCTACATCATCTTAAAAATATTTGTATCCATGTGAAATATATTTTAAGATTATTGTCTCAGACATAGTTTACAATTATTTCCTATTAGAAACTGATAACTGAAAGTCTAACTTGGGTGAGAAGTTGCTAATCTTTGCCAATTTGACTGGACAAGTGAAAAAAAAAGTTTCTTACTGTAGTTTTGCCTGTTTACTATTAAAATAGTTTTCTAAATAGTTAATTAAATTTCTGCAATACTGTATATTTGTTTGCATTAGTCCATTTTTGCATTGCTATACACTTCATCTGGTATTGTAAGTGTATTGGCTTATAAAGGAAACATGCATTTTATTAGTATGCCATTTTGATTGTCATCTAAAAATATTTACTTATAATTATTGAGATATTTTTTGCAGACTTTATTGTGATTGTAGCAAATAATTTTTCTTCCAAGTGATTTATTCAGTGACTAAAGACTTAGTTTGCGATAAATGTGTTAAAGCAATTTCCAATGCTCTTTGCCACTTGCATGAGACAATGCTAATTTAACCTCTCCGTAACTACGAAGAACATAATTTTGTTTAGATATATCTATATTCTGGTTAATTTTTCTAAATTTTTATGTAGGTGTTCTATATGTAGTTAGTTAAATCCTTGCACACAAACTTAGACATACCATAGTGATTGTTCAGTAGTGCTTCAACATTACTTTCTTGTCCCATTTCTCTGTAGCGCTCTCCTGAAGTGAAGTTATATTCATTTCAAGGGGTGGAACAGGCTTATAATACAAGTGAATATGGGTTAGGGATTATCTCTTGAATTTGCTAGGGTTACACTAAATGAAATAGCAAATGTCATCAAAGGGCAACAAGGAGGGGTCATTTGAATTAAATAGGATAACAAACAATTGTAAAAATGAAACTGGTAAAAAAATGTAAAGTACTTTTGAAAACTGAACTGGAACTGGCTGTATCTTCTGTGTCTGAGTCATCACAGTTATCAACAAGTGGAGTAGATTTCATGTTTAGGCTCTCCCAACATTGCCACTAGTTTTCTGTCTTGTTAGAAGTTTTAGATGTTTGTAACAATGTTGTGACAGTTCCACATTCTGCTGCGTCTCTTTTGCATATTTTTCCAAGTAGTTACTAGGCATTATAACTACATGTAACTTGTCTTACAGTTACAAAACATGTTCACATTCACAACAGTGACAGAAAATAATTAAGTCACAGCACTGAGCATAATTTAAAGACTTAGCAGTTGGATATGAGATATGCATCTTGTATTGATTTCCACAATTCACTAACAATGTACATAGCATTAGACTACTAAATGGGGTTTGAAGGAGATAGGCTAACATGGTGGCTTACATCTAAACTTGCACATCAATCTTAGATAACCAGAAATGGTTACAAGTATACAATTCCAATATGATTACTTTCCTTAACTCACAGTCTCAGCTATTCTTCATTTGACTGCTCTCTAGTGTGCAAATGTTCACTTGCCATTAGCCTTGAACTCCCACTTAATTCCATGTGTATACCACGTGGTTCAGCTGTGTTTAAGCATGCAAATAAGCATGCAACAACCCTCCACCAATAGGAGTATGACACACCCTCCTATCGCAACTGAACCCAATCTTCACTGCTCGATTTGGCATGAGAGTGTTAAGACCTAGTACTTGATTTCAGACGTTTGTTTTGAAAATATTCATTACTGATTTTTGCTTTTCATAGTTTTGTTTATAATCCACTGTTGAGTTGGATTTCTTTATTTGATTGTGAATTCTATTTCTCACTCAATTACTGGTTGTTAGTCAATATATTGGAATTCACAATTTACTGTTATGACTACAAGCTTCTGACATTGCCTGATGATTTCGATCAGGACGATGTGGACTTGGACAGCTCCCCCATATTCTTTTGCTGTGCAGGCACATTTTTAGCCTGTTGAAGTACCTAGGCCTCAGTCATCATTTTTAGGCTAAATATGACAGGTATGTTGTATTTTGTCTTTGTCACCCATGTCATTTGATCCCTCCTCTTCCTTATTAACTGCGGAACATAGTTCTGAGTTTTTAATTTTCACCATTCTTCTTTGCCCTTATTGGCTCTGACTGGGTAAGTTCTTTTTATATCTATATCTATCTTAACCCATTTCTATGTTTTTGAATCCTGCTGAGTGGCATGCAGTGCCTGCCAGGGTATACTTAAGTTTAAATCCATACTATGTGGCAATTTGGGTCTGAATTACTCACTCATGAGATGGGGGTGTTCCACCATACTGCTGGAGGTTTCCTCACCAGTGTCTTGCTACCTAAACAAGGTCTGATCCAGACTGTACCTACTGATGGACTATTGGGAGTAAAACAGTGTCGGGATAGCTGCCCATTCCTCTGGTTCTGGTTGTATATACCTGAACTGGCTTGCTTTTAAAAATAGGGTTTCGTGGTCACCCATTGCATTGTCTTAAGGTGTTGCATTTCTCTGAACTTTCCAAGATATTTCCCATTTTCTTTTAATGGGGAACGGGAGTTCTTGTCACTCACAAATTCCTAGCTGCTGTGATGGGCAGCGCCCTTATGGCTAATTGTTGGAGTTTCAATTATACTGCCGATCACACCAAATGTATTGAGTTGAGAATTGCAGTGGTAAGTGGAGCTCATAAGTCGCTAACTCGAGGTAATTTACAGTTAGAATAAAGAAATGGATTCCAAGACTAACATTGAACAAAATATAACAACATTTATTAGACCTTTTCACATAGCATACAATGTTAACAGCAGTAGTTAAACATTTACTTACCATTAGTTTCTCACAACTTTACTTTTCACTTTTAATTGACACTGTTGACCAATACATATATAGAATACTTTTCTCTAGTATAAGCATTAAATTCCTGAAGGTTAGAAATCTTCATGTTTATAGTGAAGATAACTTCTTCTCAGAGATGACTACTACTACTTAAAGATGACTACTACTTCTTAAAGATGACTACTACTTCTTGGAGATAACTACTGAATTTTGGCTCCAGACATGAGTTTTTAAACCATATTTTCTTTGTATTCCTTCGACCTACCAAACAGTATTCCCAACTACCCACAAGTAGTTCTAACACTATTAGTCGATCTATGCAACTTCCCGGACTAATGCAAAACAAGAACCGAAACTCAAGTAATTGGTTACTGTGATGGTGAGTGCCTCAGTTGTCTTTTCACTTGTACTAACTACACTGGTCTGGAGTAACAGATCGCACATAAAAGCACCAATTTGAGATGCTATCATTAACTTTTTAGTAGCTTCTACAGTGCTACTAACTCAGCATTAGTAATCTATCATTGTCAAACTCGTGATTAGCATTTCTCTCAGTGTCCTCACTATAGCTTCATTTTTATAACAACTAGTGATTCTCGATTCCAACTAACCAGCTAACTGTACCTTGCCTAGTTCTTGACCTGATTTCATCATACAGGCATCCTTACTTATGCCATTTTTTATACATATGTGTCATACTCAGAATACTAAGCTTCTATAACTTCTACCTTAACTTTTAGATATTGAAAATGTTTTAACTTTTGATAAAAATACTGAAGCATTTGTAAAGATTTTCTCAAAAATATCCAATTGCTTCACTGCTGGAGTGGTTGGCCATGGAGGCTTCCTACTGAATGGAACCAATTCCACTCAATAGAGAGTAGGGCAGTGGTGTTCTGTTGGTGTAGATGGTGTGATCCCTCTTACCATGGAATGGACAAAAAATTCCTGACACAACCTTGGAGTGGAGATGATCCACCACACACAGTTCACCACTACATCTGGTTTTCCCTCATCCTACCACTGCCTCGATGTCAGTTCCCAGGCAATCTGATTTTGCATTGGTGCTGGACCAGCCAACATAAGTCCTCACTCACATGTGGTTGGACAGAACTCTCCTCCTACCACGGACCAGGTGACAAATTCCCGATGTCTCCTAGTTTTAGACTGAGGTTGAACCACCACATTTGCTTCCCCCCCCCCCATCCTACTATTGCCTGGATGTTGGGTGGCCTGGTGTTAGCTGGTGTTAGATGTGTATAGGGTTTACACACATGATCAATGCCTAGGATGGTGGAATGGAAGTTACTTTTCCCTTCTGCTTCCTGGTATGGAGGTGAAGATGGTTTGAATCCTCCTCCTACTATGGAACAGATGATACATACCCAGTACTCCCTAACCACACTACACCATAAAGCACATCCAGTTTCCATATAGTGTTTCTGGACTTGCTTTTTCTTCTGCCTGACTTAGCAACATTTCTTCACTACAAGCAAAGAGTATACCCTGGTACAGAAGGGGTGCCATTTCCCACAGGAAGGTAACATTTTCTAACACTGAAAATACATTTCTAATAGATACTTACCTCCATTCACATTTTCCACCCATCCTTGACACTTCTTGTGTCTTTTCTTGCCTAAGGATGGTGTGTCACACACCTTTTGGTGGAGGGTTGTTACTTGCTCATTTGCATGCTACAGTGCAACAATATCATGTGGAAACACATGAGTTTAGGTGGGAGCCTCAAGGCTAGCAGAGAGAGAAGATTGTGCAGGTAGGAGAAAGCACACAATTGAAGAAAGCTATTATTTAAACAGTAGGTATCTATTGGAAATACATTTTTAATGTTGGAAAATGTTAACGTTTCCTTTATATTTAACTGTACCTGCAAAATAATGTTTTTGATATTCATCCAGAAAATAGAACCAAGAGTTGTTCCAGTATTGCATTGCTGTGGTGTAATGACTAACCTTGTTATTAATCTTTCTCATTGTAATTCTTCTATAAATATTTCTAAAAGTAATTTAACCTTTAACTAACTTTTGGTATTCTGCTTCTGAGTTATGTGTCAATATACCAGGAGAGATTGTTGTAAGTTATATGTTGATTAAGTAAAGAGCAATAAACACATACTGATCATTATTAGTTTCGTGGAAGTGCACAAGTTATATTAAACCATAATGTATATTTGCTATTAGTTCAATATGTTTCTAATTATTTATTTCATTATACAAATTCCATTTGGTTTGTAAAAATAGTTTTAAAAATTAGCAAATATAATCCCCACTAGGCTAGGAGGTTCTCATGTGGTAAATAAAATCACTTTGCAAATGTTTTGTGCTCTTAGAAACTTGGGAAACCAGATTTAAATGTTATTTTTTTAATCAATCAAAGTTTTGGAATATGATTTACAGAAAGCTTGTCTAGCTCATTTAAAAAAAAGAGAAAAGAAAGTCAGTGCTGAAAAGGAACGATCTGAAAAGTATCACTCTATACACATGGTAGGTGAATTATTTTACATAGATCTATGTACATGTATAACAGTTTAAATATACTAGTTTTCATTAATCCAAACATTTTTTTCATTTTGAATCTTGTATTCTGTATATTCAGGTTTTTTCTAAAATTTGCATATAGTGCTGGTTCAAGAATATTTTGGACCCTAGGCAGGAATTTCACATGGGCCCATGCTCTACTAACAATTGCATTTTTTTGTTTTTGTTTTAATGAGGCTCATTTATTTTACTCTAATTTCAAATACATGCATTACAGAAATTAAAACTTCTTGCATATAGGCATTTCAATAATACCATAAGGTGTAGCATAAAGACAACACCTAATTCCCAAATGTTAAAAGTACTTAAACCAACTGTGGTAGAAATGTAGTATATAAACAAAGCATGCATTTTTACCTTTTTATTTAATATAGTATTATTCAAAATTTAAGAGTGTGTTTGCAGTTTTCACATAATGTGGTCAAGAAAGTTAAGTTCACTTCACTCTAGCTGCCATTCTCCTGAGGTAGTACCTGTGGTACCCATGGGAGTATACCATTAATGCTGCATGTTGTGAAAGAATGTAGGCAGCTTTGCCATCCAGTGGTAGGCCAGGTGGTATCTCAAGGTTACAACCTCCATTATGTTTGAATGATAATGATCAGTCGTATGGGTAGTACTAGTCGCTCTTGGAAAATTTAATGTTATTTGTTAAGTAAGGAATGTTAGATTTAAACAGCTTGGTATATACTCTTGATAGAGAAGTCTGGAATACAATATTAAAAAAGTCAGTATGGAGACAGAACAATTTCACTCCTGTAAAAGTGACTATTTTATGTCAGCCAAGCAAGTATATACACTGTATTTGTGTCTTTTATATAATAGATATTGTTCATTGTGTTTATGTTGTGTCCAGGCTCTTTATTTCATTCTCACAAATTCAGTTATTTAGGGAAATTCAGTACTACTCTGTAACAGATATCGCATCTCTTGTTATTCAGTGGATCTTCCCCGTCTCTCTAAATAAAACCAGTTTGACCTGAGTATACTACAGAGTGGATAGGAAAGAAAAAGTTGTGGTGCTGTGATCACAGAATAACTTATTGTGGACTGTTCTGTTTCCTGCTAATGTGTGTATTTCCCTTTATTCTTTCTCTTGTGTTAATAGATTTAAAAAGGTTTTTGTTCCACAATCTGAATCACTTTGGCCAGTTGATAAAAATTTCAAATGACAAATGGAGAAAAACTAGACACGAATGGAGAGGTGACACTTTGACTGTATCACAGAGGTGTCACACATAGAATAAAATATAGTTTTCATTGGCCAGAGTTTTGGCATCATCTTCACTGGGATGGACATACTGCAGAGCTTATTGATTAGATTCATGTGTGAAACTATCAAAGTGATTTTCCATTGGCAAATTATCTGATGCCAGCCAGATCAGACCTAGGAGCAGTGTACTATGTGAGTGTATGTGATATGGGAAGTCACAGTGTACCCTCTTGTACACAAGTGATGTTTCAAGTGATCTTGATGTTTGGTCACATGTTTGAGTCTGTGTTTGAGAACCTGAAAATGGCATCATACTACCAATTGTGGCCAACTTTTTTAAGATTGTCTCATCATTATTGGATCTCACCAGGTGGAGTGAGGAATGTGAGCAAGTATTGTAAGACCTGAATCTTGCTTTGGTAGAAGTGCCAGTGTAGCCATCTCCATGATAAGACCATAAGTTCTTGTTAGATACTAATCCCAGTGATAAAAGAATCAAGGCAATGTTATTACAGTTAAGATAATATAATGTTTCGGGACAACAAGGGGACCTATTGATCCATCTCAGCTGTCCCATCCTTTTAAACTAAACTAAAACTATTAAAATAATCTTAAAGCCAGCACATATCATTCATGTAGTTATCAAGCTTTCTTTTAAATTCACTAAAGACAACCCATTCCAGAGGCCAACTATCTTGTTAGAAAAATAAAACTGTTTTAGCAGAAGATGATTCCTACCTTACCAGACTTTATATTTGTGTCCTGTAGTCATACTATTCTCACTGGCACCATTCTAGTAACTTTTCTCTGAACCCTTTTTAACAATTCAATGTTCTTCCTAAGGTAAGGAGCCTAGGACTGAACACAATACTCCAAATGTGGCCTAACCAATGAGCTATACAATGAAATTATAACCTCTTCAGACTGTTGGGCTTCCTACATTGGTGAAACTAAATATCACTTTAATGTACGAGCATGTGAACACATGGGCATATCTCTATCAAAACTGGAAGAGAGGTTACAAACCCTCCCAACTCCACTATCTGTCAACACAGTAGAGAAACAGGACATCCAATTTGTCTCTCAAACTTTAAATTTTTTTCAACAGCCAAACACGATACTGAACTTCTTACAAAAGAAACATTATACATAAAAACTCTTCACACAGTCTTCACTGGACTTAACTTCTCTTTTTACTAATATTCCCCTGGACTAAACCATTAATATTGCACTTTCTAATCTCTTTGCTAAGAATATTCTTGTTAATGGATTTTCTACGTCTGATTTCAAATCTATGTTTGAACTCTCGACCAAAGACTCTCTTCTCCTCTTTAACAATACTCTGTATGAGCAAATAGATGGCATTGCTATAGGCTTCCCACTGGGTCCTACACTGGCCAACATTTTTCTCTGTCACCACAAACAGAACTGGATTGACAACTGTTCGTTAAGCTTCTAACCTGTTCTCTACAGAAGGTATGTTGATGACACTTTCCTTATTTTCTGCCATATCGGTCATATCCAACACTTTCTTGACTATCTCAATTCACAACACTCCTCTATACACTTCACTCATGAAATTGAGAATAATAACTCTATTCCCTTTCTGGATATTCCATGACGATAATGGCTTTTCAACTTCTGTCTATCGTAAAAACACATTTACCAGCCTTTTCACTCAGTTTGACAGTTTTATACCTTCTCTTTCAAATGCAATCTTATTCTTTGTCTACTAAATAGAGCCTACAAATATACCTCATCTTATTTAGCCCTTCACAAAGAAATTACTTCCATACAAAACATTCTCTTTTAAAATGGCTACCCTATGTATTTCTTGGAGAAAATAACTTCCTCATTCCTAACTAATTTGTTTGTAAACCACCTAAGATACCCACTGTACCCAAACTTCCCTTATAATTCTGCTTACCATATCTCAGGAGACATAGCTCCCTTATCATGAAATAGTTGAAAAAGTTATGTAACATTTACTGTCCCCAAATTGACCTGAAAGTCATTATGAAACCCAACTTTAAACACAAAAAAATTTTCCACTACAAAGATCATTTGCTGATTTCCCATTGTTCACATCTTGTCTACTTATACACTGCATGGAAACTGTAAAGCCTCTTATATTTGTGAAATCAAACGTCATCTTAAAGTACGAGCATGTGAACACATGGGCATATCTATAAAAACTGGAAGAAAGGTTACAAACTCTCCCAACTCAGCTATCTATCAATACAGTACAGAAACCGGACATCTCATTTGTCTCTCAAACTATAAAGTTCTTTCAACAGCCAAACATGATACTGAATTTCTTATAAAAGAAACATTATACATAAAAACTTTTTCCCATCCCTAAATATCACATAGTCTTCACTGGATTTAAACCTATTTTAACTATTTCACTTGTGCCTCAGTTTTCAATTTCTCATGTTATATTTGTATATTTCATTTTTATTTTTTATGTATATATTTCTGTTGTAATTACAAATATTGTTTGTTTGTTTTATAACCCTAGATTACTGATGATGGAATTATGACAGTTCCAAAATGTCTAATAAATGCTTCCTGTTATTACGTTCATGTTTGGTTTTATCATTATGCGTTTTTCAAAAAGTGAGCCTATTAATCTTTAGACTTGTATTCAATATTTCTGTAGATACAAACTAACTTCCTATTTGCTTTACCACTAGCAACAACACACTGCTTGGATGGCATAAGAAAATGATAAACCATTATACCAAGATCCTTTTATTTTATGACAGTGTTAAGGTTATTCTCATCCAAATTATATGTATAATTAAAATTATGATATATGCATTATCTTGCAATTATTACAATTAAAATCCATCTCCCATTTATTCACCTAACTCTCCAAATCTGTTTGTGAAACAGCAGCATCCTCTTCACAGCTAGTAGTGTTTTTTTTATTGTAAACAAGTGTTAGAAATGTGAAAAGGCTGTAATTTATGAAAACATGTATGAATTGTCCCAAAATTGCTTACAAACGCATGGTAAGTTTGAATTGTGTTAGGGTAACGTTACATGTATTCCACAAAATATTGTTGGAACACCATCAGTTAAGATGCCATCTATACTATTTTGTTGTAAGAATTGGATAATTGAGTCTAGGTAAGCTAACTGAATAGTGAGAAAATTGTGGTTCCACATTATTTTGGACTTATAAGAGTTCAATATCATTCATATAATTTGAAAAGACCATTTATATTAATGAGGAAACCTCACTTCACATTAAAAATCTTTAGGTTTATAGTAAGTTTACTTTCTTATTGAGGTAGTTGGATGACAAAATGATACTATTCAGAATAATTCAAAAGTTCAGATGTTCTTGGTGTTATTCGAGTAAACAAAATCAGGCAGTTTGAAGTCAGCTCAGTTGCCTAAAAATTTATTACATTACCAATCTTGCTTGAATATATTTTTTTGCATGTTTGTGTGGTTCATATGAACACTGTGTTTTGTAGGTAATTGTTGAAGTAATAAGGAACATGCTATATAACTGACTATGAATTCTGAAGCATTAGTTTACCAAATGCTGTGGTAAAGTTTGGTATTTTTTTATAATAGGTATGATCAATTGAAATCATGTAATAGTGGTAGAAATGTCTTTTATCAACAGAAAAGAGCTCAACATCTGAAAGAGGAGGAAGTTAAAGAAAAGTTGAAACAAGAACGAACGAAAACTCTTGAAATACTTAGATCATGTATACAGGTAAATTACCTTAAAGAAAAATGTTTGTACAATGGAAACTCAAGTACTTAGATACACCAGGACCAAAGAATATGCCAGGCATGATATCTTTTCCACTTTTAGAGGAAATTTGACTTTTTTAAATTTCCTGGTATCATTGTTGGGTTTTGCTTGAACCTGTGGAGAAAATATAAGGAGGGTTAGAGTCATTAGCTGTTAGGATATTGATCAGAATGTCAATGAACTCTTACTTCAGTTCTAACACTTGGTGTTTCTATCCCATGTATATGCACAGCTATCACATAATTAACATGAGCAAGATTTGAGAGTAGCCCACCATGAGATGTTTCTTTGGTCTAAAATTAAATCACTTGTTGAAATAGCTAATCAGTGTTATTCGTATTATGTCTAGGTTTACTGTTGTAATTATGTATGCTGTGATTACGTTTTTCTCAGTCAGAAATTATTACCTACAGCCAATAGAATTTGACAGTTAAGAGGTTTCCACTTATAAAGTGGCATTAACAACCATCCAAAAGATCATGAACAGAACAAGTAAAATTTGAGTTTGTGAAGCTTGTGTGTACATATGTATATAAAATATATTTTTCTTTGCAAAAATCATTGTTCTTGACAGTATTTTATTTCAAGATGGCAATAAATTGTGAAAGATAAACCCTCACCAGTGGGAGTTGATGAGGTTAGTGATTAGAAAATTTCTCTTCACCTGTTCTTTAACACTAGAAATGAAGTAAACAAATGTTGAAAATTGATTAGGTAGATTAGTTAATATGCAAGCTTGAATGTTGATTTTGTCTGAAAGAAGTGAATTAGAGACATAGGAAGTTGAGAAAATGATATTCAAGGTAATTTGCAAGGTTGTTTGTGAACTTTTGATAGACTGGTAAATGTCATCAAACCATTTTGCTCTGAGTAGTATTTGGTAAATTTGTCTTGGAGTTGGAGCATTTGATAAACTTCAGGTGATTCACAGGATAAATTATTCTCTACCAATTTGCCAGAAATAACCAACTATCACTCTCTTGCTTTTACAGTATTTAGATACCCACTCTCATTACATTAACTTTTGTTTTGTGTGTGTGACAGAGAGAGAGAGGTTATTTAACATTAGAGCCCTGTTTAAGAAGATAATACAGTAAAAATTCCAAATTTACTTACCTTGAAAATTTCTAATAGGTCCATTCAAGAAAATACATTTGAGATAACTACATAATTACTAGTCCTATTTGATAGTAATATGAATTTGAAATGCTTGATAGCCAGATTTTCAAGTAATATTTTCTCCTGTTGCTAACTGTGCATTTATGACATATGCAAAATGACATAAAGAAACTAGAGTAGGAAACCCTAAGTGATCACCATCAGAAACTATTCTGCTTTACTCACTTTGAAAGGCAAGATCAACCTTCTTTTGGTTTCTTGTCTGATCCGTTAGTATTTTATGTTTTTAATCTCCATAATTTGTCAGGGTTTCTACACATACTAGGTGAACTCTTCAAAATACTTGAATTCAAACACTTAAAAGTATGTAAATTGGTAGACAAAATTGCATTACTTGTGAGGTAGTGAAAGCTACATAAGTATCATTCCATTGTTTCTGTGAACTTCTGACCAAAGTTTCTACACAAACAGTGTTCCCAAAGGTTGAAATAGGAAACATTAATATCTTTTTTGGGACTTATGAAAGTGTATTATAATGATTAACAATGGAAAACATGTAGGTGGATTGGACAGATGTATAGAATCGGTCAATTAGTAGTATTTGCTAATCAACGTCCCCATTAATCGATTTGTACAATGTTCTTCAAACTCAGTTCCCAACAAATTGTTAAAAGTCTGTTGTGCTCAATCACAACTGGATAGAGAAACATCTTATGAGACAAAAATAATTTCCAACAGTACAAATGCATAATAACTTATCAAGTAAAATTATGTAGCAAAATGTTAACTTACATTCTTGTCATATTTCATAATAGAAAACTTCAAACTTGTTTTGGTTTATTGATAATTTTTTTACAATTTCAAAGTAAAGTCTCATGCTGTAATAACTTGTGTTTAATATAATTTAGATTATCACATTTGACAACAACTCAAGACAAACCTAAGTGAATCTGAAACTGAAGTCAATTGTTCGAATGAATAATTATGACAAAAGATCAAATTAATATAGATCTTTCCTTAAACCTTTTCATAAAATGTTTTAAAACAATAAGATTATATCTGCTTTTCCTGCTAAGTTTACTTGTGATACTTGCATATTTACAACAAGGGGATAGTGTAGAGAATTCCCTTTTGAACTACAGTTTGTTGTTTAGTAAATGTGAGTGGGCTTAACTTCAGCTCAGCATACCAGAAGTATTAATTCTACGTGCAAGTGTTAGGATAAAAGTGTGTCTGACATGACCTTTTACAAAGTGCCATTCAACATGGTATTATGTATTTGATGTCAGAGTTATCAACTATTCATTTTAATCTATGATGGTGATTTAGTGGCAGTTCATGGTACAATAAATACCAGCTACGTTATGTAGGGATAATGAAAAAAATTGTATATATGCATTTTCAAGGTTCTATTGGTTATACAATATGCAAATTGTACAATAGACAATCATATTTTAGTTTTCATGTGAACATCACTTTGCTCTCAGACTTCTCAGAGTCAGACTGACATCATCAGTTCACAGGCCAGGCATATCTTGAGTACAAATACTTTTGTAACACATCAGGTTTTTTACATACAACAGACTTGTACATTTTACTAAAAGCTTGCCACATTTTGTATAGTTAAAGCAAATTCTTAATTACTGTCCACATTCCAATGCACATTCAGTTAATGTGACTTGTGTTCCTATCTGGTTTTTTATCTCAGAATATTTGTTAAGTTGAAAATTTTGGATATATATATATATATATGTACATATATTTTATGAAACAAAAGCAAATAATTGAATGTAAAGATTTCTTTTACTGTAATTGCATTGCACCCAAGTTGAATCTTGGCATATAACTGACATTTCTTTCTTAGCTTATATGATTCATAAGATTTTTACTTAGGTAGTAATTGTCAGGATGTTTAATAAGTGCAAAGGTTTTCAAGAACATTAAAAGTATAGATTATTGTGAGTAACAAAACTTGCATTGTCGTAGAACTTGGGTAATGGAAGCAGAAATGTTCACATATTGGAAATTCAACTTATTGTAAACTAGATGTTTTTGAGGACATACATTAAATGCTAGATGCAGCTCAGTATAAATAAATTTTATGTGGTGTTAATGTTCTTTATGTAGCTACTATATATGAATATGTTTTTTAGTGAGTTGCTTCATTTGGTATATTTTGAATAATGTAAATCATGGTCAGCTTTATTTGCACTTAGCCTGGGTACTTTTGATTGGCCCTAAAACAAAGGTTCCATTAGTATAATCTTAAAAGGATGTAAGCAGAATCACTAGTTACTATAATGTTATTAAAAAAAAAATCTGTGTCCTATAGATTTGAGAAAAGTTGGTACTTACTTTAAACTATAACAGGGACCTTTTATAAAGTCTTTACAATATTATATATATTCACATATAATAATGGGAGATGACGCAGGTTTATAAAAAGTTCAGCTTTGAAAATACATCCAACTGATGTGACGGTTTTGCTTTTAAAATGTTAATTTCAGAAAAAACTGCTATCTGAAACTGGTTCCTTAATACTTGGAAGTGGCACTTCTGTTTCTTCAAACTTCACAAGCGATAACATCTTATATAGAAATGCTGGTGAAGGAGCTGCTGCAGGTACTCAATATCATGAAGATATTGATAGAAAACTTTCAAAGAGGTCTGGAATACTGGAAGATGATGAATTACCTTTACCTCCTGTTGACGCTTTGCATTTCCCTCAAGAACAACAAAATTTCCTTTTCCCACCTCCACCCAATCTTGATGTTCAGACTGAACTGGATAAAAGCATCACTCTTTCACACTCATTTTTTCCAGATCTCAACATTCAAACTAAATCATGCTCTCTTCCCCCTTCCCCTGCTCCACCACAAACTTCTTTAATTCCAATTTTCCCTTTCTCATCCATGACAAAAGAGAAAGAAATGGATGAGCTGGTGGAAAAGAAAGGTGAATCTTTACTAAGTGGGGTTTCAAGACTAGACTTGAATGAGCTATTGGCTGTTAGGAGCAATCTACATAAAACATTTCCATCAGTTAACCATGCAACTAAAGGTAAGTAAGCATATGGAAGACTCTTTATAACTAGATTTTATTTAATTTTTTTTTTATACTAATACACATCCACAAATATTGATTGTTAATATAATTTTTTATGCAACAGATAGTTTATTGTAGAGATTCAATGAGCTGAACAGATATTATCAGAGAAATGTTATGATACCCTTCCAAAAATTCCAGTGTTCTTAAATTTTGAGTGAATAATGTAATTTACACTTGCATGTATTATTTTAAGATTTGAAATTTTTATATTTGGAGTAAATGTTTTTTTAACATTAACCTGTGTATTTTTACATTGTTCATGATTTCATTATCTAACACTTCTAATATTGTTCCAAACAGGTATGTAGATAATACTACTAGATTATTTGCTTGTGTTTATTGATTAAAATCAAGATGTTTTAACTTGTTAGAAAAACAAACATGTCTCTCTGGGTTCAACTGGAAATCAAATGATGAAGTATCAAAATCAGCTGATTTATCAAGACTGTTACATGCCACCCTGGATCGAATAAGGAACATGACTCATGACTCAGATTTGTCTAATGACTCGAATTCTAGCAGTGACTTTGAATGAAGATAACACAGCAAATTTTCTACAAATGAAATCTCTGGTAGGAGAGCTGAAAGCTTGTGAAATAAATTATAAAAGAATGAAAGTTCACTGAAATACTTTTAAATACAAGTATAATACAAAAAAAATAATTTTATAAAGACAAGTAGTGCTTGATATATATGTAACCTGGCAAGCTATAGTAATATAGAAAGTTTTAATGGTACAAAAAGTATTGAAACAAGAAAGTCAAAACTACAAAAACTGAGTTACATATAATTTAAAATATTTTATCCCTCCTTTGGCATATCATTGTAATAATGTTAGTCTGAGCCAAGGTCGGGATAAAAGTTTTTAAACTGTAAGTAACTCAGTTTTTGTAGTATTGACTTTCTTGTTTCAATACTTTTTGTAGCATTAAAATTTTCTATATTACTATAGCTAGCTGGGTTATGTATAATCCCTACCTATTTTTTTTATAAAATTTAAAAATTTATTATACTCATGTACCCGATTTGATGTTATTACTTGTCAGGATCTCTACCAACCTACCTTCAAGTCTAGTTATATGCCCAAAGTAAGGTATCATCCATTTTCTAGATATATATACACTAGTATCCTTTTCAGTACAAAAAAGGAAGCATTGGGACCCCAGATGGAAGAGTTTTGTGAAAGAATTAGAGCAAGAAGCTTCATTTATTCTGTACATTTGTCTGTAAAAGTCACATATTTACTTAGATGAAAATTTGTCGAAATAGTGAAATTTTGATTCACTCCATAAACAAGTACATAGCAGTTTAAGCAGCTTTATAGGTACAATAAGATTTAGTTTGCTTAGCCAATATTGTGAAATAGTCATTGCTATATTCAGACATTTTAAGTTGGTTATGGGTGATTTTGTTTTATCACGATCTGTACTATTAAGTACTACTGTACTTAATGGTATTCTGGATAATGTGTTACATGTTGTAAATCTACTTTTATTTTTTGTATCCATTGTTTTTGCAATATAAACATGGCTTTAACTTAAAACTAGCTGATTTTTAATATATATGCTTTTTCAAATTGTGTACTAGTTGCTCAGACAAGCATTTTTAAATTTTCACCTTGTAGCAGATACTTAGTAACCAAAATAATGTCAGCTTAATAAGAAGGCTTGTGTGGTATTTCAGTGAAAATGGAAAATGTTAAGTAATTTTCACAAGTTACTTACAACAGTTTGACGTGATTAGTAGTTGAGAAATTAAGTTTTGTTATACTTGTGTACACTGTGGTGTAGTGATGGAAATTGTAAGTTAGCTAAAACATTGTTCTGCAACTAATCTTGCTGAAGCATACTTATCCTTGAAAGTGTAAACCTGTGTTCTAACAGTCATTGAAAGTAAAAAACTATATTTTTATAGCTTTATATATATATATATATATATATATATA